GTCATAATAATATAATAATTAGAAGTTTTATAATTAATCAAATTGAATTTAAACATCTTATTCAATTCAATATGATGTATGAAATTTTTTTTTTAAGAATTATCTTTCCTATTCTTCTGACAATAATTATTGATTGAGAGTTGCTCTAAAATATTGACGAAATATTAGTTATTCGGTCCATATTATTTATAATAAAATACATTTACAACATGGAATACTGGTATTCTTTAAAATTTAATTTTTAGGGGCCCTAAAATATATACAATATTTTATATTTTTAATATATTGCCATTCTTAAACAATAGTTAAATTTAAATAAAATATTAAGTATAAAGAAATAATAGTACCTACCTACCAATCAGCCTATAAAAAGTAGAAGGCAAGTAAAATAAATATAATATATAGTTTATGAACAGCAATAATAACAGTTACCTACATATATTTTGTGATTTTTTTTACTTATATAATAAAAACGTGTACACACATGTAGACACCTTATTTTTATATTCTCCTCGTATAACGCTAAATTATTAAAAAATATCTGATGAACACTTGAATGTACCATACATGAACCAATATTCAAATTTCGATAGAAAGTTTATGGCAAAGTCGATAGTTAATATCAAAATATCAAAACTTACCAAGTCACTGGTAGTTTCCTTGTCGCTAAAAAATAAAAAAATAATAAAAATAGTCATCGATATTTTATTTTTTTTTTTTCACAAAAGTTTGGAAAACCTTGATTATTGAGGATCGTAACTGCTGAATTCGACGTTTAGAAAGTCCGTACCAATTTTCCATTTACCGCTCTAAATATATAAAAACAAATATAGTAGACGACTTTCGTCTTCCTGTGCTCCTCCCTCCAATTGCAGAACTGACTTCACCACTGCACTAGGGTGAGGGTCAGAAGGTTTTTATGTCMGTAGGTGTTGTAGCTGTTTGGCGGACGTTTATTAATTGTTTTCGGTTCGCGACTCGCAGTTTGGATCGCGTTAATATAGATAAATGGAAACAAGCGTGTTTTTGACTTAATTGACTGAATACATTTTCGGATTCAATAATACGATTTTTAACCGTTTCATTATTTACCACTGTCCCACTGCCCCTACGCATCCACATCTTTCGACCGTGTCGTTTGGCGGCAATCAGTAGTGTAAACCTCTATTGGAATCTCGTCTCTCTCGCCGTGTCTCTCTTCCTCTTTTTTTTACTGCAAACGCACGTTAGCACGCATACTATACACCAGTTTAGTAATGTCATAATTAGCGACGTCCGTCGTATTTCGTCGTTCGTCCAGAACGTTTGTTTACATTTTTTGTTTTTGTACAAATTGTTTTTTTTTCACCTTTTCACTTATTATTTGTTTTACTGTTTGCTGCGTGACATCGTTTTCCGTTTCGCACACTTCCGCAAGTAGCGAGCTGCTCTTTTTACGTCTGTATAATATTATTTCACGTGCTGTTTATATTTGTGCACCTATAGATAGATTCGTGGATCTCATCGAGCCGAACACTGTCGAGTGTTTATTTTTTTATACACAGACCAATGATTTCTTTAACTTGACAAAGGATTTATTTACTCGTAACTTGATACGAGATTGATGGATATTTTCGAAATAGCGAACAGCAATTAAATGTTTTATTCTATTACGAACCCGTTTCTTAAAAAAAATGATCTAATTCTAAGTATTTCGATAATATTTTAATGGCAAGCTTCAGGTTATTGTCTGTTGCGTATTATATGCATATCAATTTTAGTGCTTGGCCCATGTAATTGTTATTTATATTTAAGAAATTGTAATTTTTTTAATGAGATTATCCTGATGAATCATAAATGTAATAAATGTTTACATTTGTCTCTTTTAACCTGTACCCAATATTAATAAAGATAATACTGCGTCCTAACTGTTCATTATTATTCCCGATTATAAGTTTGTATTGTTTAATAAGTTATTATTATATGTTTGCCAATTAAAATCATTATGTACGGATGTCATTAGTTTGAGGTTTTTTGGTAAAGTTCTGAAATCCCTTTCCAAACAAATTGTTGGCAGTGTATATATTTTGTTGTCGCGTCGTTAGTTTCGTTTCCTTCATCTAAAATTGTTACAGGAAGTCCGAAATGATATCGATACATTTATTCATATAACTTTTGTCTAAAAACCGTTGACCGAAACGGTAACAACTCGACTCATATAGAAAACGGAAAACATTTTTTATTTTTATTTATTTAAATGCTATAAATAATATTACATATCATTATATTATATTATGTGCATGTCGTTGAATACGATTTTCGTCTTCAATAAAATGGAATATGCATGCTGTTTTGTATATGTTGCATACTATATGTTGTATGGTTAATGGTTATCATCCTGGTCATTATGTCATTTAATAAATTCAACATTTAAAGCGAAAGTAGTCTTTAGCTTTCACACAGTGACAGTTAGTTATATTTAGTTTAATTTATGTATTTCCTATGGACAAGTTATATAATTTTATTACCCAAAATTGAGCGTTAAGATTATCGAAGCCAAAATCTAATTCTTGCAATAAAATCCAGTTGTAAAATAACGTGTCGTTTTTATTGAAACCTCCCATCATAACGTTTACAATTTGTGTATTTTTATGAATAGAATTGTTTGTAATTATTTCTTATTTGTTTATACACAATTAACAAATTATAATTAATAATAGATAAAAAACAACATTTATTAGGTACCTATATCTCCTATACAATTGTATTTTTTTTTAAATATGAATTTTAAAATTACGAAATTGAAACCGTTCAATTAAATTCAAGGGATAGTTATATTTAATTTGTTTATTTCATTATATTTTATTTTTGTATTACATTTTTTGRCTATTTTTTAAATTATTTTACATAGAAATTTTAAATTGGTACCTTCTGTAAATCTATGATATTTAAAAGAAATATCTAGACAAATTGATTGTAAAACTAAAACTAAAAACCTAAATATTTATTAATATTAAATTTTAAATTATATTTAAAACATATAGAATAGGTAAATGCGTTTAATCAAAAATACTTCGAGATTTGTAAAGTTTTTAACGTATAGTGCAATCATCTTTATTCAAAACACTTTTAATGATAATTATAATTTGAAATGCAGTCACAATGTAAGATGGACGTTAATATAATTAAATTATTATCTATTGCATCATACATTTTACTTATTTAGTTTAGTTTAAAAAGTTTGATTAAATAAGTAGGTATGTATTTTTTTTTGTTTATACATAAAGCAATTTGAAAAACAAAATTGTATTCGGTTGTTAAAATTGTTCAAACAAATGTTCATCAATGAATTGTTTTTGTAATCTGGTATAGTGAAATGTCGTGGAATTTCTGAAAACTACCAGTCCTCAAAGCTATTGTTTTACTCAATTTAAAACGAAAATACCAAAACGAAATCCGCTTAAATATGGGGACTTAGGCACATTGTGGAATTTCGAATTGAAATTTACCAACGTTGGACGCATGAGTGAATGGTATGTGACACACAGTGAACAATCGCAAGTCGTGTTTTGGCCGGGGTAATAAATGTTGGTAGAATCACGCGAGTTGGGTAGACCGTTTTTATTATGTCAAACCACTGTATCATCATGACTGTAGTCGCTATGTCTGCTAACGTCGTCGGAGAGAAGGATGAAAAAAAACCAAAAAAACATTAGTTTCTCTCTATCATTTTTTGCTGTCACGTATCCGTTGGTCAATGTGAAGTATGCTAACCACGTGCAAGTAAAACTCTTCTTGCAACGTTAACACGTTTTCTCTATTTTCTACGGGAAGATGAAAGAGACGTGGCTTAAAAACAGCTCTATAAGATGAATTTGGTGGGGATTTCTATTTCATTTTAGTTTATATCTCTATAATAATATGTGTATCATCAGGAGACTAATCTCATTTATATGCATTTTAAATGTCTCGATCTTGACTCGAAAACTTCGCAAAACGCATTTTATATCTTGAAATTAAGTTAATTATAATTCTTATGTTATAACAGTTTATCCTATGATTAGTGATTTATGATAAGTTAAACGAATTTTATTGTTTAGTTTATCGTATTTTAAAGTGCACGAATAAAATTATTAAATTCGCTAAACTGCAGCGTTAACTATATTTAATTATGTATTAAATATTTTAGCATTGTTTGCAAATAAAAATAAAAATAGTTAAATTAGAATCAAAGAAAATATAATATAATTTGAGCAAGTGTAGGTATTGCTATTCATTACTGMGATATTTTTGTTTATCAGATTATGTTTTCAAATTCATATTATAGCTGATTATAATAACGCTTAATCACAAAATTATAGTACTATTAAGTTGCTGTGATATGAAATGGTTTAAAAATACAATGAGTAGTAGGAGCTGAGAGAAATGTTTTTTGTTATATTTTTAATTTTCAAAAAGCTCACATTTTTATGTCAAGTGTTTACATCTTTAAATTATTTTAAATCCATTTTAGTGTAGTATTTAACCGTAATTATATTATTTCAAACACTATTTTTCCTCTGGGTGCGATTTTGTTGTTTTAGTTGTGGTATTTTGTACTTAGTCGTGCCATTCTATTTCAAATGCTTTTTTTACTTAGACCTTCAATGGCTATGTAATGTTCAAAGAGACCGTTATAAGAGATTTCACGCTTCCCCCGTCTACTCTTGGATATCGAGGTTGAAAGCTATATATACCGTATTTTTTTAATTAAACGGATCTACAAAGAGTTACGTTTGATCACACGCACGCTCACACAACCGTGCAGTGTATTCATTTCATATATTTGAATATTAATTCAATCGTTGTATTTCCATTATACCTACTTAACAACTCATGTAATCCGACTTTTCGGTTAATACCACCGGCATTCGACAGTATGATGTGTATGTGTGTGTGTGTGTCACACACTAATACATTGTTGTGCAGTTAAATGATTAAAATAAAAGTAATATTTTTAACGAACTATTTTTGTTTTATAGATTGGCAGTCTGAAGGGTTTTTACCTCTTCGAACACAAACACGTGCATAAACGGTCAATGGAAACCAGCGATGAACATCATAAGAAACTCATAGACGAACCCGACGTAAGTACCACCGTCTAATAACATAATTATTACAATATTACTATCATTGGATTATAAAAATAGCATAATATGATAATAATTATTCGCGTGTCCATATAGACGTAGGTTACCAATGTGGCTTCACGTTATGTTTTTTTTTTTTTTTATCGCAATTCACCTTGCTTTGTCGAAACTGTGTCAATATATTATTTATGTATCATGCCGTCGGCGTAGGCACTCATTAGGGAATAAGTTGTATTATATAATATTTTAAGACTTAACGCGCTCCGTATACGTTTGTTCAGTTTTCCCCATTCATTACCGTCGCCGATTATACACGCAACCATTCACTCGACGCCTCGTTTAATGCGATATACGGCGTAGGCGAGTCTTAGCGCCATTATCACACACACACACTGCGAAACATTCTATAAGTGACGTTTTCTGGACGAGTGAACAATTCACAAGCCGAGCTGTAAGAAATACACTCAACAACGTATTCCATCGGTGGAATGAAAGTTTTTGAACATTTTTTTTTTTTTCATAGGAAAAAATCAATTATTTTAATTTGGCTTCTGTATATTTATGCTCTACGATTTAATTGAAACCAACAAATTTCAGCTGCGAAATCCGTTGTTCGTTAATGTAATATTTAATCGCCATAATCGTGAGTAAGGTATTACGTACATATTTTTGTTCTTTAAATGAATGCTGTCATTTTGATTTATCGGTTTGTAATTATATGCATCGCTGTATTAAAATTACCATATACAGTAAAATTATGGTGAATTAACTATACTATTGCATCTTGTTCGTTGAAAATTCAAAATCATATTTTCCATTCAGTTAAATTCAATATAATATGTAGATTTTTATTGATTATTTAGAACTTATAGAAACTACGTTTCGTTGTCTTTTTATTAATTATTAAAAATGAGCTTTTAATTATTTTATTTTGTTTCAGTACCTAAACGATATTTAAGTGGTATGTTATTATACGTTTGAATTTCACGTATGAAATAATGATAATATTAAACTAAACATATTCCATTAATTTTAAAGTTAATAAATTCTGAGGTATGAATACATTCCAGTAAAATATAATGTAAATCATGTCAAAAGAGTATTATAGATTATAGACACAGATAGTATGTTCAAAAAAAAAAAAAATGACTTTATTTTCTATAAAAATAATTAAACAATAGTTGATTTACACACTATTAAACTTCAATTTAAAAACAAAATTAGTGAGGTAGAATGTGGTTTCTATTTGTTTGTTTTTTTGTCTTGTTCATATTTTAGATTCTTAGCGGAGCGATGAATGTATTGATTTTACCATGATTTGTGTTTTAATTTTTTTTTTTGTGTCTTTTATCACGTTTTGGGGCAGTAAAAATGCTTCGATTTTTGACTTCAGTACCTCGTTCGATCAAAAAGTGAGTCTAGTTGGTACTTTGGGGGATCAAAAGTAAAAAATTCTTAATACTTTTCTAAATAATCTAGAAAAACAAACTAAAAATTAAGGAAAAAACGGGAAATTTTACGCACACTCATTTTTCGACAAAATCGATTTTGGTTTTTGATGTAACTTTAAAACGAATGACCATAGATACATGAAATTTTCACCGAATGTTTATATAAGTATATTCTATCCACCATGTAATTTTCGGCTTAAGTTGAACTATTCATAGGCATTTGAAATTTTCGATCATTATTAGTTTTTTAAAATTAATATCGATAAAAATGTATTTATTAGGCAGAGAAGCTTGAAAATTTAATACAAGGCTCTTAACATATTGTTACAATAGCAGTTGAAAAATAAAATAAATTCATAGTCACAATTTTTTTTTACAAGCATTCAAAGTTTAAATTTTGACAACATCTGTAAAAATTACGAAAATCACGAAATTTCGCAAATTATTTTAAACTAGAAATTCATAAAAAAATTTTCTTTTTTTAAATCTAAGATTTGAAAATTTTTAATAATCTATAATATACATATTCTAGACAGATAAACCGTCTTCGCTCAGAATCGTTTTTCGTATACAATGAAATAGTATCATTGGATTCAAATTTAATTCCATCCATTACAGTAACCCACTTGTAACCTACTGTACAGTAGACCGACATCCACGACTTACCCGCCTTTTTTTAATTATATTATTTGTTGCAGAATATTAGTATACATAAAAATATAAATTTTTTCATGAATATCATAATATTTTATTATGAATTCTTTATACCTTAATATTTCTACTTTTAAATCATTAATTTTTTTTGTTTTAAACCGTTATTATTGTTTTCCAAGCTTAAATTGTGTATGCAATTTCATCATTAAAATCGTTTAACTTTTGCGGTCTTATTGATTTAATATTTAATCTAAACTATTTACAATCATAACATTTTAGTATTTTAATTTAAAACACGTATGAGCTAGTGTATGACACATTTCAATTTGCCACCTTGAAGAAGCGACATCGGTATAATATCTATATAGTTAAAACAATTTATTAAGTTAATTTATTGTATATGCGTTTTTAAGTTGTTGCCGTTAAGACATTTAGTAAGTTTCACTTCTCATGACAACTTTTCTTTTATTATATCATCTTACTCTTATTATTCTGCTATGTGTATATTGAAAAGTTGTAAAGATGTTTTATTTCTTAACGTTTCCGTTTGGCTTGGCAAGAGTACAATATAATCACAATGATATTGATGTTTTATTTACTATTAAAGTGTTATCAGTAAAAACTTATTTCCTTTTATTAAAGAGAATTGTCATTTTTTCATTATTACGGATATTGAAGAGGAGAAGTTTGAAATAGAACGAGGCAGAATATTTTTCTAATTTAAATAGCAGCTATAAATGTTTGATAAAACGTTTTTCTGTTTTAATAAGGGAGTCAGTAGTAAAAATGTTTGATTTCTTTTTATAAATACTTTTTAGTATGACGATTGTTACATCGTAGAAGGTATAAATGTAATTATTAAAAACGCTTCTATATTGAATAATATTCATCACCATAAATATAATAAATAATTTAAATCGTGTTATTATAAACCATTATGTACTAACAACACTTATTTTCTTTGAGATTTTGCTCGTTATTCATACCCTATTTGCATCGCATTTAAAATGTATTGATTTATGACTGAATTTCGAGTTATTKTTGTAACTTATGTTATCTTCTTAGTTATTTAATTGTTAGTGAAATAAATATATTTTTTAGAATTATTTCTTTTGTTTTAAATAACTTTCGTACTTTTAAACTATACTATTCGTCGTATAACCATACAATCCATAGGATAGATCAAAAGTTAAAAGCCATAGCACGTGCATAACAATAAAAAATCGTAAATCGTAAAGATAATAACATTGTTTTGAATTTTGTAAAATAGTACCACTTAAAATATTCCAGTCAACTATCGTAAAAACAACTTTATTGAACAAGTTTAACGGTATACTGAAAAATAAATCATGTAGTTGTTTCACTCACAGTTTATATTATAATAAGTTTAAAACTAATGTGACGTTTAGTTTAAAATATTATTTGTGGTTCAAAAATAATAAATCATCAAGCATAAGAGTTTCGTATCTATTCATTAGGTACACATTATTTTTTAATACTACCTGTATGATACCTCCTGAAATAATATAAAATGCATATTATTACTTTTTTAGCTATTTTTATTTACTATTAATTATAATAAAATTATATCATTCATTGTTATGTTAGCCAAGTGCAGTTACCTAGTGTTAATTTTCAAACACAAAATTAACTAGTTTAAGTATTATTTCATACCTATATATACTTTTAATGTAATATTGATATTTATTTTTTAATCACATGTTTTCTAAATTTTTTTGTATAGATATGTACATCTTTATTTAGAAAAATTGATAAATATACAGTTGGTACAATAAGTAATTTTAAATTAAATAAACAAGTAAGATGATAGCATAATTAGAAATCTCATATGATAAACTCGTTAATTTTTATTTATTTAGAAAAAAAAATGCTTAATACTCTATAGAAAATGTAAAGAATGATAGTAAAAATAAAGTTAATTCGATTAGGTAATAAAACAAAGTAGGTAAATACATGTCTCATTGCTGTTGATTAATGTACTACAAATTGTAGTTGAATGTCAAAGTTAATTGGAGATACACGTAAATCAACGAGAATTTCACTACGATATCTCATTTTATTTACATCAGAATTCAGAGATCCTACGAGAGTACATAATTTTTTATCTGATAAATTTTATTTACTAAGGAGTAGGTCACCGCTGACAGAATAAATTAACTTTATTATCCATTTAAATAAATTAAAATAAWTGAAAAATGTAATTGGTATACTAAATCGAATAAAAATGTAGAAACAATAAAACTATTGAAAAACTAAATAATTTGAAGAAAAAAAATACTTAAATAATGTTGATTTCACCCTATTTGCTCTTTAGATTGAATAATGGTTAGTATAATGTTTAAATTATCTGCTGTAATAATAGATAATTATAATTGTATTAAAAGATTCATTGATTAAAACTTTAGAATTAACCATTATGAATTATTTTTTAATATATCAGATACCTACTTTGATTTACAAATTGTTTTATGATGTTAATAATGGATAGTCGATTTCTTTTAAAAATGTAATATTTGAGTTATTACAGCTTATATAATTTATTAAAATAATAATAGTAAATTGGTTGGTAATAGTAAATACAGTCTACCTATAAATTAAAAGTTTCTTATTTAGTTTATACTAATTAAACGCTTCTTATCATTGTTTAGAGTGTTTTTAAGGGGATTGGAAGCGGTGATTTTCTGTTTTTGTCTAACACACGTGGGGCATAGTATACGCCTGAAAAAAATTAAGGTACTTCTAGTGGTTTGATTTAAAATATGTAAAGATATGTTAATTGATATACAAGTTAACTTTGCATCGGTCAAAGCACTTTTTCAATTGTAGCAATATTTTTATTAGAATAAATATTTTAAATTTTATAAGTTTGTC